AATGTCAGGTCTTTGGCAGGTAAAACATTTTTAATCAATGATTTTATCACTGAGCACAATCTCGATTTTATGTTTTTAACGGAAACATGGATTGAACAAAATAACAGTGCAGCTGTCCTTATCGAATCAACCCCTCTCAACTTTAGTTTTATGAGTCAGGAAAGAATGCATAAGAGAGGAGGTGGAGTTGCTATTTTATTCAATGATTCCCTTCAATGCAGGAAGACATCTTATGGGAACTTTGCTTATTTTGAATATGTGGCCCTTCAGCTGAAATGTTCCTCTCGAGCTCTGTTCCTAAATATCTATAGACCACCCAAATACTGTGCAAGCTTTTTTGATGAATTTACTGAACTGCTGTCTATAGTGTGTATTGACTTTTACCGTCTAGTCATTGTTGGTGATTTTAACATCCATGTTGACAACACCCAGGACAGAGGGTCTAAAGAACTGTTTTGTGTTCTTGATAAATATGGACTGACTCAGCAAGTGACGGAGCCCACGCACAATAAGGGACACACTCTGGACTTAATTATCTCAAAGGGTCTGAATATCTCTAAGGTTGTGGTGACTGATGTTGCACTCTCTGATCATTCCTGTGTTTTCTTTGAGAGCTCTATTTCTGTTCACAAAAATGTTCAAAAAGAGGTAACCACAAAGCGATATTGAACTGAAAACACTAGGGAAATGTTTACTCAGAATTGTTCTTCCGCACTTGCCCCTGCTAACATCTCAGTAAATGAGCTAGTAGTTCATTTTAATTAAAAAATTAAAAATGTTATAAATGCCATTGCTCCAACTAGGGTAAAGGAAGTGACTGGCAAGAAAATATCTCCATGGAGAAAGGCCATGACCGTGAGAACAGAGAAAAAAGAGTGTCGAAAAGCTGAACGCAGGTGGCGAAAAACAAATCTCCAGGTTCACTTTGAAATCTATAAAGAGAGACTTGGCCTTTATAATTTGGAATTGAAATTTGCCCGACAGTCTTTCTTCTCTGATATCATTGCCAAAAACAAAAACAACGCAAGTGCCTTGTTCGCTACCGTCGACAGACTAACTAACCCCCTAGTGTCAGTAGCCTCTGAACTTCTATCCACCAGGGCGTGCAATGAATTTGCCATCTTCACTGAAAAAATTCAGAAAATCAGACAAGTAGTCAGTGCCTCTGCATCAGGAACAGAAAATGTTTTGTCTCTGTGTCCACCTAATATCAATTCAAACACCATGACACAATTCCATCAGATTAATGATAAAAACCTAGAGGACATTATACAACTTTTGAAATCCTCCTCTTGCTGTCTTGATATTATTCCAACAGGGTTTTTCAAAAATGTTGTTCCTTGCATGGCCTCAGATCTACTTCATATAGTAAACAAATCTCTTCACTCAGGTGTTTTTCCACAGGCCCTTAAAACTGCAGACATTAAACCGCTCTTAAAAAAGCATAATCTAGACGCTTCAGTAATGAACAATTACAGGCCCATATCAAACCTCCCATTTCTAGGTAAAATCATTGAAAAAGTAGTCTTTCAACAGTCGAGTAATTTATTGCATTTAAATAGCTGTTTAGATGTGTTCCAGTCAGGCTTTCGTCCAAACCACAGCACTGAGACTGCTCTTGTAAAGGTCTTTAATGACATCCACTTAAACACAGACAGTGGCAGAACTTCAGTGTTAGTATTATTAGATCTCAGTGCTGCGTTTGACACTGTTGACCACAGCATATTACTAGACCGACTGGAAAACTGGGTGGGACTTTCGGAAACAGTTCTGAATTGGTTTGAATCCTACTTAAAGGACAGAAACAACTTTGTTTCTATAGGTAAATACACATCTGAGTTGACAAATATGACATGTGGGGTTCCTCAAGGCTCCATCTTGGGGCCTCTTCTCTTTAACATCTACATGCTACCACTGGCTCAGATAATGAAAAACAACAAAATAAGTTACCAAAGCTATGCGGATGACACACACATTTACATAACCATTTCACCAGGAGACTATTCTCCAGTTAAAACACTGCGTAAGTGCATTGAACAAATCAATGACTGGATGTGTCAGAACTTTCTCCAATTAAACAAAGACAAAACTGAGGTAATGGTCTTTGGAGCCAAGTCAGAACGTATAAAAGTTAGCGCTGAGCTTCAGCCTGCAATGTTCAAAACAACAGATAAAGCCAGAAATCTAGGTGTAGTCATGGACTCTGACCTGAGTTTCAACAGTCACATTAAAACTGTTACTAAATCAGCCTACTATCACCTAAAGAACATATCTAGGATTAAAAGACTAATGTCACAGCAGGATTTGGAAAAACTTGTCCATGCTTTTATCTTCAGTAGACTCGACTACTGTAATGGTGTCTTCACAGGTCTCACTAAAAAATCTATTAGGAAGCTGCAGCTGATTCAGAACGCCGCTGCTCGAGTCCTCACTAACACTAAGAAAGTGGATCACATCACTCCTGTTCTGAAGTCTTTACACTGGCTTCCTGTGTGTCAAAGAATAGATTTCAAAATACTGCTGCTGGTTTATAAAGCACTGAATGGTTTAGGCCCAAAATACATTTCTGACCTCCTGCTAAATGATGAACCATCCAGATCTCTCAGGTCTTCAGGGACTGGTCAGCTTTCTGTCCCCAGAGTCAGAACTAAACATGGTAAAGCAGCGTTCAGTTATTATGCTCCAAATATCTGGAACAAACTCCCAGAAACCTGCAGGTCCGCTGCAACTCTGACTACTTTTAAATCCAGACTGAAGACTTTTCTTTTTGTCACTGCTTTTAATTTTAATTGAAACTGAGCTGTTGTGTTCATCATTAAAGTGGAACTTCTGTGTGAACTATTCATATCTTAATGCACTGTAACTTTTTATTCATGTACTCTTTATTCGTGCATTTTTTCTTTTAACGTTTATTTTATTATCTTTTACTGTTTTTAAATGCCTTTGTCTGAATGTCTTTCATTTTTGTAAAGCACCTTGAATTGCCTTGTGTTGAAAGGTGCTATATAAATAAACTTGCCTTGCCTTGCCTTTTTCATTAAAAATTAAAATATTTTTTTAAATATATATTTTTTAATGTGGGAAGAGGTGGGGCGGCGCCCCTAGTGCCCCTATGGGCCGGCCACCACTGTAAGAGACTAACCACAATTGATAACATGAATAGCTATCAATGACAAGCCTACTTAAATCAGCACAGTACAACAGACTGGGTTTACCGCTACATTCACAAGGATATCTGTTTAGTTCATTCTAATTCTGATCTGGCTCTTTCGTGTTTGTTTTACAGGCATTTATTCCCTGGGACTTTCGGAAACAGTTCTAAATTGGTTTAAATCCTACTTAAAGGACAGAAACAACTTTGTTTCTATAGGTAAATACACATCTGAGTTGAAACATATGACTTGTGGGGTTCCTCAAGGCTCCATCTTGGGGCCTCTTCTCTTTAACATCTACATGCTACCACTGGCTCAGATAATGAAAAACAACACAATAAGTTACCATAGCTATGCAGATGACACATAAATGTACGTAACAATTTCACCAGGAGACTATGCTCCAATTCAAACACTGAGTAAGTACATTGAACAAATCAATGACTGGATGTGTCAGAACTTTCTCCAATTAAACAAAGATAAAACTGAGGTAATGGTTTTTGGAGCCAAGGCAGAACGTATAAAAGTTAGCGCTGAGCTTCAGTCTGCAATGTTCAAAACAACAGATAAAGCCAGAAATCTAGGTGTAGTCATGAACTCTGACCTGAGTTTCAACAGTCACATTAAAACAGTTACTAAATCAGCCTACTATCACCTAAAGAACATATCTAGGATTAAAAGACTAATGTCACAGCAGGATTTGGAAAAACTTGTCCATGCTTTTATCTTCAGTAGACTCGACTACTGTAATGGTGTCTTTAAAGGTCTCACTAAAACATCTATTAGGAAGCTGCAGCTGATTCAGAACGCCGCTGCTCGAGTCCTCACTGACACTAAGAAAGTGGATCACATCACTCCTGTTCTGAAGTCTTTACACTGGCTTCCTGTGTGTCAAAGAATAGATTTCAAAATACTGCTGCTGGTTTATAAAGCACTGAATGGTTTAGGCCCAAAATACATTTCTGACCTCCTGCTAAATTATGAACCATCCAGATCTCTCAGGTCTTCAGGGACTGGTCAGCTTTCTGTCCCCAGAGTCAGAACTAAACATGGTAAAGCAGCGTTCAGTTATTATGCTCCAAATATCTGGAACAAACTCCCAGAAACCTGCAGGTCCGCTGCAACTCTGACTACTTTTAAATCCAGACTGAAGACTTTTCTTTTTGTCGCTGCTTTTAATTGAACTATTCACATCTTACACTGCACTGTAACTTTTATCCATGTATTTTATTCTTTTAATGTTTATTTTATTAGCTTTTCTTTTTAATGACTGATTTTAAATGCCATTTTCTTAATGTCTTTCATTTTTTGTAAAGCACTTTGAATTGCCTTGTGTTAAAAAGTGCTATATAAATAACCTTGCCTTGCCTCCAAACTTGATTTATATTGTTGACGAGGTATCACTACAGTGCATACACGAAAGCAGGGCGTGGCAGAGAAAGGATGATATGTTTTTTACTTGTGCTCAGGATTAAACTTCAAAAAGTAAATTATTACTCAATTGACCTCTAGATGGGGCAAGTTAAGCCACAAGACCACTTTCTTTTGAGTCATATTTTCATGCCCTTTGTGATAAATGCATTATTTTCATTTTCATTGAAAGAAGACCTCCTGAAATAAAGGTTGTTGTTGTCATTTGTCTTCTATCTAATTTGTCCTTGTGTAGAGGACAACATAAGTACAAATTGGCTCATCTTACCCCACTGTTACCACCTATGTTGGATCATATACCGGCACAACAAATATTTGCACATTTTAATGATATTTGAAGAGTTGTTGACTTCACTTTGTCCCCCTTTTCTGAAACACATAGAGCCCCTTGATTTAAATCATGCACTGGACAAACACTCCTTGATCAACAGATTATTTTAATAAATAATATCATCATGAAACTCAAAAAACAGACGGAAAATGATTTGTGCACATCTGAACAACACACGTTTATCTTTTTTTTATCATTACAGTAGCAGAAGTTATACAAAGCAGTTGATTCAAACACCAGGTCCAGATTACAGGGGGACTGCTTGGGGAGACGGGGGTTGAAGGGTCATAACCGTGGCATCCTAGTCCATGAAGCCCCCGTACCTCTTCTGTATCTCGCTGCCGTTCTCCCAGGCCCGTTTCAACACCCCCCCACTCTTGCTGCTCTCCACCAGCCACTCCGGCCTGCCCACCCGCCTCATGAAGCCTCCGTAGCGCTTCTTCAGCCCGCGGCCCAAAATGGCCTCCAGCAGGTCGCTCTGCGGGACCCCCCCCTCCGCGCGACGCATGAAGCCCCCGTACCTCTTCACCGCCTCCCCCCCCTGCTCGGATGCAGCGTTGAGGATCTTTAGGATCCCCAGGCGGATGTTGTCTTCCTCCTCCTGGTTTCCTGGATCCTCTGGGGAGGGGGGGGAGCGGCGGGACATGAAGCCCCCGTAGCGCTTCATGAAGCCGCCGTACTTCTTGGCCAGCTGGTGTTCTGGTGACTCTGCGTCCACATCGGCAGCTGCCATGGCGCCCGCTGCCTCCTGCTCCTGGCGGGGATCAGGATCCAGGGGGGTCTGGGTCTCCTCGTCCAGCAGGAGGTCCCGGCACAGGCGCAGCTTCTGGCTGTCCAACACACCCTCACACTCAAGAGAGCATGTCTGGAAAAAGGAAAACAATCTGAATGACATTTAAAATCGATATTAACAATCCAATGTTTGCCAGTTACAACTACCTTCATCCTTATGCCTTCATTGCAATATCCTGAATAATTAAAAGCTTAGTTGAATACTCAATTCTGATTTGATAAGGAGGATCAAGGAAGAGAAGGAAAGATCTTAAGATCGCTGGTCGGCAGAGAAATCTCCAAAAGAAGACTGACAGGAAGTAAACACTAACAGGAACAGCAGAAGAAGACAGACAGGAAGTAAACAATAAAGAACACAGTAATGGCTCTGGCAGTTTTTAAAGACTGGTTAGTGGAAAAGAAAATGTGAACAGACTTGTCAGTTACAGAAAACCTCCATCAGTGCTGCTGTCAGTTTAAGATATGTTGTTGTTGTTGTTGTTGCCGCAGTTCGTTTTTTTCTTAGCAGAAGCAATACGTTCATTTTCAAGTCAATCAAATCATTTTCAATTACTATTGTGAGGCAAGTGGTTTGTTTATTTAGCATGTGGCAGTAAAATAAGTGTGATAATGTGCTTCGCATTGGGCCCTGTTTGGTGATCTTTTTTCTTTATCACATTATCCCTCACTTAATGCACCGTAGAGATTTTAGAAAACACATTCATTTCAAGATTTCTTATCTGTAGTTTTATTTTCTAATGCTCGAACCCTTAGGTTCACCTCAGTGAAAAAGTATGGCTGACTTTGAATCAGGGTAATTGCTCAGCAATCCCTCATTTGCTAAATGTTTATAGCATTATAAGTGTGTTGTGTATTTCACAGCCTTTTGTTTTACTATAACTGTAACCGTATCTTTAAATACTAGCTTTAGCTAAATTTTGATCATTTTAATAAAAATAACTTTTGTAATTTGCTGAAGCGATCACTAAATTGTGTCCCAATAACCCCCCCCCCCCACCATAGTGCTCATTATGACATTAGCATTAGCATATTCTAGTGAACTATTTAGAGGAACAGTTCTCAGTGTATATGAGATATTAAATAACTTAACACTAAAAGCAATCTAGCCTGTATAAAATGAATTTACATTCATTTTGAAAATGATTCTCCTAATAATTCTCCCATGACGACTGGCAAAAATAAACTGTCACCACTGAATTTATTCAAACCTATTGGGAAGAAATTCAAATTAAATTTAGTTTCTTTGTCAAATGGTGAACAACATAACATTTGAAATCAATTATGTATTTTCTTATAGCTCTATCCATCATGTGTCATCTTCCAACCATCATTCATGAGTTAAAACATAACAATAAGCTTCATGAACTGTTGCAGATATTCATGTAAGAAACACAAATGGCTTCTGATAGAGAAGAATGAGAGATCACTTCGTTCTGATAAACAGCTTCATAAACAGTTTCTCTCTGGAAAGCATCTGTCGCAGCCACTCAGTACCCTATTCTTCTAATGGAAGCTTTGCCCCCCCTCCCTTATCCCAGTCATCCTTTAACTATGTTAGGCCGTATAACCGTGGTGGCGGGGGGACAATCCGACTAAAGCCATCTGCCGGCCCCTCGGGGCCACACACTGCCCCCATAACCTGCCCCCAACCTCATTGGATCTCACTCATTAGAGGACACAGAGGGAATGCTGCTGAGCTTTCAGTGCCGCTGGCTTATGGAGACAGAATTAATGAAGAGGAAAATTGAATTGAGGAAATATTGGCCCCTGAGGGGAGGGGGCTACGGGGGGTGATGCTGAAGAAGCCCCCTCTAGTGGTCAGAAAGGGAATTTTACAATAAATAACAGCTGCGTATAGGAAAAGGAACAGACTATGGACAGATTTCCAAGGCTGAACATCAATGTATATGTTTTGTATATGTCTATATGTTCTTTTACAGGTATTGAGTTGTGCTGAAACATGTATGTAAAGGGTAAAGAATCCAGGGGAATGGTTCTTTGTTTCAAACATCTTAAGACATTCTCAAAATCTCTAATATTTATTTTGAAGGATGGATATTATGGAATTATGACTTATCTACTGATGTTAGTTATTCCTCTAAAATCTACTTTGCTGTAATTTTGAAGCAATGTGCTATTACAAATCAGTAATGATGTATACGGTTCAGCCTGAATAGGAGATCAAATATGAAATCGCTTGATATATATATATTTGAAGTTGCGAATATTTTACTCAGGGTGCATACATTTTGAAAACAAAGTCCTCTGCTTATAAAATGACTTTGCATCAGTTAATACAAAATGTGTATTGATGATAAGGAAACGATGACGTCTACACCATCACGTTTATACATTTATTGACACATCAGAATTATTTCAAATTTGAAAAAACATTTAAATGGACTAAAATAAATGGATTTAAAGGAGATGACGACATAGTGAGGAAGAGCTTAAATGAAAAAGAGGGTTAGGTTATGTATCCACAGCTAATTAACACTCCATAATCACCTCAGCAGGAACATCCGTAAATCACTCCGCACTGCTCTATGAATGAATGTGAGGGGTTCTCATCACCTGCAGGCACCTGCTCTACAGTGTGGAGAGGGTCTGAAGCCCCGCAGGACGCCAAACTGCTCTGGATGAATCTGCAGCCATTGAGGTGCCCGCCGGAGCGCAGAGAGGTCCGCCATTACGCACGGAGGTTCGCTGCTTTTACCGTTATTAAATCAGCTCAAAACTACATCAGGCTGCTACAGAATAACCACTCATCATAGCTCTACACACGCTCAATTTATTATTGAATAATCTGCTTTTTAAAGAAAGAAAAGTCCGGTTACCTTTTTAATAAACCTTTTTTTTTTGTAAAAGTGACGTCTCCTATCTTATCACTGAGACAAATTGCAGTGCGTAACGTTCATGACTAAACTGCGTTTCCAGTTACGAGGGGATATACAACATAATTACTAAAAATAGCCCCAGTTCGATATATCATATAAACAGCTTCACCAAATGAATGTGTTTCTTAGTGAAGTGTCAGAATTTCAACCGGATTAGAGCGAATATTCGGTTTTTACAGGTGGTATTCAGGATGATGCATGAATAAAGGGAGAGGAGGAATCGATGTGCAGAGGAGGAGAGGAGGATAAATACATATGGAAGTAGAAGGATTACATTTAAAAAAAGAGAGGCGCAGAAATAAAAGAGGAAAGGAGAGGAGTGGATCCTACAATACTGGTAGAAATACAAAATAAAGAAAATAATTTGGTCGCTATCTTCATATCAGTCCGACACTATTGTATGAATACAACTTCGGTACATGGGCAGATAGTTTAGTATGGTAGGTGATATTATGAGTTGGTCCAAGGATATGTATATTTGAGCTGATAAAACAATGACTGTGTGAGCAGGAGAAGTTATTTCTTTAGTTTATTTTGTATTTGAATGTATGAATCCTAATGTCTCAGATGTGCAGTAGTTACCAGAGAGGAGAGCGCTGGGTGCTGTCCCAGCAGGCGGTACACACACAGCGCGCACTCCTTCTCACACTCCGTCCCAACCACCAGCGACACGCACGCGCCCAGCAGCAACATCCACAGGCAGCTTCTGTGTGGGGGGGCAGCCATGGACTGAAAAACAGGAGCATTCCATCCGATTCAAACTTTGTCACGAGCAACATTATTCTCCACAAACAGTCAATTAGGAAGTCCTAATCGATTAGAATATTATAACAACTAGCACCAGGTTTGGGGATTACCGGATTACATGTAGGTTAACAGGATCACGTCAAAAAGGTAGGAAAAAGAAGAATATGTACTCAGATTACCCCTATCGTAAAAATAGTTTTTCTAGCAGGGTAGAAATGTTGGTTAACTGTTGTCAGGATCATTACATTGTTGGTCTATAGACTACTGAATAAAGGCAGCTTCTCTTTAAAAACGGAGAAGAGGGATTTGTTTTAATAAAAATGGTTCTGTCATTTTATAGAATACACTTGAGTAAAATCTATTTCATTTATTTTGTTGTCTTTATTTGATGACAGCGTAGATAGGACATTGCACATGAATCAAAAGTAAAATTAAATAGAACATGAAACAGTAAAGATATACATACAAACAGTAGAAGATAAACAAAACAGTGAGCATTTACATATCAATAGTGAAGGATATATATCTATAAGTAAATATGTTAATATGTTTATGCTCATAATCTTTGAGTCTCTTTAGAAAATACGTGAGCAGCAGAAGTTTGTAAAAGAAGAAGTTAGTATCTTACCTTTGGTTTAATTCTAACGACCCTTAAGATTGTGTGCTTTCCTCGTCAGCGTGTGCCCTCGAGGCTGGAAACTGCTGAGTGGCGCGAGCCTGTGCGCCGAATATATGTGCGCGCGGCACCCTGTGTTTCACGTGGAGCGTAGAGCGGTCCTGGTTCAGCCAATCAGAAAAAAACAACTACACAGACAGCACATACACACACACGTCACACAGTACCGGACCGTTCAGAGAGTCCGCGGTGAGAGAACGGTGAACTGCCGCGGAGCTTCTGAGTGCTGCAGCTGGGGCTCCGCGGCTTCTTTTAAAGCACTTTGTGCGGCCTACGTCATCCAGATAATGGGCAGAGGGTGGAGGGGGTGGAAGGGGTAAATAGCGTCACGGTGTGACGCGACAAGAAAGCCCCCACGCCATCATCCCTTTCTGCACCTCCATTCTGTCACACACCGACTCCATCCTCTGCTTTATTGCTTCTCAACGGGTCTGTGACATAGATAATAAATGGCAATACCATGCAGGTCATGGGTGGGAATTATATTCCATGTTATTGTGTTTTCAGGTGGTGGGACTTTTTTTAGATAAGAAAACAGGCATATTGACTATTGCTACACATGCTTTATGAATGTACTGCAGTTAGAGAGTACTGAGAAGTAGTATCTGAGATCAGTTACTATGTCTCCCAAACAATGTGTTGCTGAACGATGATTCCTCTGAATTTATTAAACCATCAGAAAATGTTACATTTCTTTCAAGATTCAAGACTTTATTGTCACATTCATATGCAGTGGCGTTTTCATATGTACAAAACTGGTGGGGCACGAACAACTTAGTTGTTTATATAAGCTTCCGGTGCTTTTTTAAACACGTAGGCAGTGGCGGTTCTAGCTGATATGGCGCCCTGGGCGGTGCACCTTTCGTCGGCATTTGAGGTGTTTGCTAAATGAAGGTGACTAAATCAATAACGGTTATAGTGGTTGTTTATAGCGTTTTTATTGCAGGGCTACACATTATCGTTCTGAAGTAAGACGGTTTGAAATGATTCCAATGTAAGTTGCTGAACTGACGACGAAAGACAGGCAGTTAACAAGCAGCAATGGAGTTAAGGTTACCGGGATAATTTAATGACATGCTTAATGATGATATGATACCTTTATCTTTTGAGCGTTTATCTTCTTCTTCTTTCCTTTTCTTTCTAAACTGGGCCCCTGTGCCTTTTTTTCTCCATCACCGTATGTATTAATGTTCGACCCGAGAATCAATGCATCCCCTCCCCCAACACTGTCAACTACAGGTCAAGACTATAGCATTTTGCCGTAGTCAGTTTTTAAATGATTATTTATTGTTTCATACAACCCAGGCCAGGAAAAACATTTATCTGCAAAACAATTGATATTGTATGAATGAATTTGGTGGAATGTCGATGTGTGAGATTAATTGTACTACTTTATAAACATCGAAAGTGATTATTTGATAGAGATAGTTTACCCGCCGGCCCCCTCTCTCTCCCCCATAGTGAGGCGACCTGAGATATCCACCCTTCTTTGAGTGTGAGACTTTCTATCCAGCTGCCTGCTGTCATAAGGCCGCGCCCCCTAAGACCCACAACAAAAATAAGACATTTCGTGCAAATTGTCGATAAAAAACTCTTGTTTATGAAGCATTGCTCTTTTGCTCTGCCGCC